AAAAAAAAAWAAATAATAATAATATGACAGTCATGTCACCAATAGCAACCARAGCTAGTTAAGAGTGGTTTTATGAACMCATCAATCAAAGTGTGGTAATGAAAATGTAAAAAAAAAYTGATTAAGAATAACAGCCTCAAGTGCATTTCAAGGGTTTGTGAAAAGCACTTCACTAGATATTAACCATAATAGAATATTTCTGGTGACCATTTTTTTTGATATTGACCAAAGGAATATGATTTGCTACTGGTCACAGTGTATCATGACTTTGATKGCTCCACCAGCACCAGTCCTTGATGTTTCAAAAGCCTGCACTGATTCTTCCAGTTTAAAATGATGTGTGACAAGAGGTTTCACATTAACTTTGCCAGAAGCAATCAATGCMAGGGCAGCAGGRTAACTATGGCAACAAAATAATCATTAGTCAATAAGGAGTTGCATATAATTTATTATTATATCATTTGTAACATTTGAGATACTGTATAACACACACTCTGATTGGCTGGTGAGTTCACAAACAATAATGTTATGCATCAGTAACTAATAGGTTTGTACTTTCTTGTAGATATTGATMACCCAACTATAAGAAGCCAAATTGTATTTTCAAAGCTACCGCAGACAGGACTTTTTGTAAAACARCTTCTGTGAGGTGCTCAGGATTGGAAAAACAAATTGTCTCACCAATTGGAATATCTAAAGATTCCTCTGATATCAACTTCTCTTCTTCTTGCATCAAATATTGGCAACATTTGTCGGTTATGTGGGGATGACCCTATGAGSACAACAACTCCACTAGACACAGTTSCCTGCAAAATAAAGTGTTGCTTACCAGTTTGCATAACGGAAAATTCCTCTGATGTCAACCTCGCGTACTAAGGCTTCTACAATAGGTAAGTTAAGCTCAGCTTTACCCATTCCTATTATAACCAACACACCACCTGATTTTRTTGCCTGTTAATAGAATGTATTAAACTGTTACAGATAGCAAGTGTATTAAGAGCATTAATGGAAAAAATCATTATTTGATATTTCTGCACCTACTTTTAATATTATAGCTGCAGCATTTGCTGCTGTCTTATGTCATGAAAAATCAGTTAGAGTTGTAACTCTTTTTCTTTTGCTAAAAAATGTCCTTTTATTTTCTTATGCTAACTATAATTACCATGTTTATATAATGTGCAGGCAAATAAAGTACCAGGTTATTAACATTTTCTGGGAGTTCTCCTTCATGTACTCAGGGAATGGATGTACACAGGCTATAAATTTCWAAATACTTACATAAATCCCAGTGTGTACACTAGACTCAACTCCTGTACATTCAAGGGTTTTGTCAGCCTGACCCATCACTTCTATGACCTTCTTAGCAACTTCTTTACCRTCTTTGCTTTCTACTTTGATGATATAATCAGCACCAAGCTCCTTTGCTTTAGCAAGACGACTTTCATTGATGTCTATAAATATAACAACACCAAAAAGATGCAAAACTTTAGATCGTATTTCAAGATATGGAAACTCTGCCTTTTAAACACTAAATGTTGTTATACCAATTCAAGCAATGTCAAGGGATGACAGTTTTGTCACAGGGGTAAGTGGGCTGGGTCAGTGGGGAAATATTGAAGCTATATCACAAGTAGAGTTCAAGCCCGGGGGGGGCACTCCCCCGAAACTTGGGCGGGGGTGTGCCGCTGGGACCTCAAAACCCTGACCCTGTTCCAGAGTGACATCGCTAAAAACTATACCCTGTTCCATAGTAAAATTGCTGAACTGTTCCAGAGTAAAATCCTGCATTAGCTTGCGTGTAGACCGAATTTTTACCCCATGAATTTTTATCCARCATCAATAATTCTGGAATTAAACCTTGACCAGTGTTCCAGAGAAAATTCGTTGAAATTGATACCCTGTTCCAGAGTAAAATCGCTAAAAACGATACCCAGTTCCAGAGTAAAATCACTGAAAACGATACCCTGTTTGGCGGCACGTCCCCGCATAGCGAATACAGGGGAGTACCCTCAAGCCCAAGAATCAAGATGATGAGTATTAGTTAAAAAATCATTCTGATATTTGTTGACTGATCTTGGCTCCCTGAAAAGCAATTGAAAACCCAAAACATTTCATGTAAGGTGTTGCATCCCTCTTTCTATTAAGAATTATTATTATTTGACCTRCATACCAGTTACAACAACTTTGCTGGCTCCACAAGCTTTTGCAGTAAGAAGATTTACCAGACCAATAGGACCTAGATTCACAAAATAGTACTAATTATAAAGTCAATCCCATAAAYATTATTCAGTAATTGTAACCTAAACAACAACTGTCATTTCTTTAAAAATACTTTTTAAATTACTGGGAAGAATTTCGATCTAAAATTAAATAACAAATGAAATGTTATAGGACATTGCAATGAATTGTGCACTATTTAAGAGAGTAAGAGATGTGACTGGGTAAATGAATCTACTACAGCTACATTCAGCAAACTGACCTGCTCCCAGTACTAGCACTTTATCACCCATAGTAATGCCAGCCCTACGACACGCATGAACAGCAACTGACAGAGGTTCAAGTAGAGAGCCCTCTTCAAAGGTCACATTGTCTGGTAACCTTGGCAACAGAACATAGAAAACAAAAATCATTGACAGAAGAAGTTGGCTTTGGCAATTGAGATATTCTAGTAATTTGAGTGAAATATCTTTGCTTTACTTTCACCATAAGTAGATTTGATGAAAACATTTGAAAGAATTCTCCAATTGGGATCAAAATGGACTACAATAAATTGTTTAATTGCCAAAGTTAAGTAACAAGGTCCATACATAATAAATTGTAATTACAGCTGTTTAAATATGCTCACAGAAAACTCACATACACTTAAATTACAGTCTGAAATACAGTCAACCAAGCATTCACTAGTTCTTTATAAAAATCCGGGGGGGGAACTTCCCTATAAAACATGGTAGGTATGCTCGGCAGACCTTTTAGGGTCGAAAATAAAACCCTTGCATACCTTTTGGGGCCCTAAGCTGACTCCGTWCCTTTTTATAGGGTCAATTTTCAAAGAACAGGAAAAAAAATTGACAGAAGAAGTGTTAATAAAGAAAGAAGATTTTATTAACCTCAACAATCTATCGACATTGATTTTCTACAGTTTGTTAAACTTGAGCCTTTCTCTTGTTAAAGACATCAAAAATGGTTGTACCTTTTATGGTCTGGAATCGATGCCTAAATTGATTTAAGGTTAGGGATTGATGTTTGCAGTAAGTGTCAGCCACAAGTTTGCATGACTCATAACATTGCATCAMTCATGTATCTGGAGTACATAAATTGTTCTTACTTGAAGCAAAAGTCTGCAGCATGGTTGTATGTTCTACAAAGACAGCCATCAACAGGTGGAGTTGCACAAAATGACATGTCAGGACAAAGATTGTACTGTCCTTTCTTACAAAAGGAGCATGTTCTACAGGGTACTCCAGGCTCAATGGCCACACGGTCACCTAATGAATCAAGTCAAAAGAATCACCATGTACCTTCTAATGGTTCTGGACAACTGATATAAGACAATACATATTTGAATCTTTTGGAGGGGTGGGGGCTGTGGAATGATTGAAGTTTTATTCTGGGAATTGTTTTTTCTTATCATTAGAAGTTATTTATGTCTAAATAACAATTATATTTCTTCAGTAAAATGTTGCAATTCATTGTTCTAAATCACCATAACATAACACATTTCCTCACCTATTTTCAGGTGCGTTACTCCTTCTCCAACTGCTGATACTATCCCAGTAGGTTCATGGCCTACTACCATAGGAGCTTTAACTATAAAGTCACCAATTCTACCTGCCTTCCAGTAGTGAACATCAGAGCCACAGATACCAACAGTCTGCATTGATAGTTGAACCTCTTTTGGGAAAAAGGAAGGATGGAAATATATGAATAGAGATTATTGTTTTAGAGTTGTTTGTTTTGGTTACTTGTACAGAGTAGTTCTTTCATGTTTTCTGACCGCGAAAAGGGCTATTGTCTGAGGCATTAAGGAATGAATTTGGAGGACCAACTAGTACTATCATAAAAGAGTTGGAATATAAATGTGCAGAAAAAAAGGAATTTTCTCTTTAGACAAGCAAATTAATATGGAGTTTGCAGATATTATATTCTATAGATAAAGCATCTGAATGAATCTATATAAAATTAAAGTGAGAAACAAGCATTATTTTAAAAGCTTATTAAGTAGCAAATGACCTCATCACTGCCCCGTGCAGGTCTCGTGGACATTACATTCTGTGTTAGCGTATATTCAGGGAAATTCAACATTGAAAAGTTGCCCCAGTGTTAAAAATCATGACAAATTAAGCTAGAATGAAGATTAAGACATTATTGTTGAAGAGTTTTAACAAGCTTACCTCCTTTAGCTGGTGGAATGACTGGACGTGGCTCCTACAAAAACATATACTTAGCTTAAAAATGTCTAGAATATTTTTTCTATCAAACTCCTTGGACGTATAAGCTTTATAAGTCATCCATATCAATCTTTGTCTAATGATCTTATGTACTTACAATTCTCAGGTCGTCTATTCCATGCAAAACAACGGATAGATTCTCTTTGTCCGCCATCTTCCCGAGTGTACCAAATAAACTGAGACTGTCACGCACAATCAGTCACGCAATCCTAAATCACGAAATTTTAGGGTTCTTATAAATAGCATAAAATTTATCAAGCTGCAACAAGATAAAAAAATTCAATTGATCTATTTCTTTATTTTCTTTTTTTACCAGTTGAAGATATATCTTCAAATTGTCAAGGCAAAAATAAATGACTTATTTGGAGTTGTAATTTTTTGTTCAAGTACACTAGTTGMTATATCCGGGGGCTGCTAGAGGGCTGCTATAGATAAACGTGAATATGTTTCCTTCCAGACAACTTGTCTGAAATACCAAAAAGTAAATGGGCAGTGTTAAATTTGTCTATTTCGATACAGTTGTAATCACTGCAATGATATAGTTTGATGGTAAAATAAGAATTGGCATCACTTGCAAATTAGTGTACATGAACAAAAATCCGTACAGTTGACGTTCAGAGTCAAGATGGCTGCCGGATTCGGCATTTGGGAATTACGATTACCTTCTTCACGAGCCGTTGATGAAGAAGATKACGAAGAAAATGAAGTAMCAAATGAAACTGAACTTGATCTTGATCCATCTTGGCTTTGGTCAGATGAAACGAAAARGCAATTAAAAAATCCTACTTCAAAGTTGGACTGTTCAGTTGTCATTCTTACTGTTGGAGAAGTTCCTGCAACTTTTCTCGAAGCTCATTTTCTTTGTGGAGGTAATAGCGATCTTGTAGGTGTAATAACTGAAAACCACGATATTAGTGACTTTAGCTTGGCTATGAATCCTAAAAATAAAGAAAGCGTTGGGCTAGTTCATCGATTATCTCAAAACCAAGATTGTTTCGTCATTCAATGTCGAACCCACGTGGARGAGAGGAAAGCGTTTTTCTGGACAAGAAAGGTAAGSTTCGATTAAGTAGGGTTTTTGTAAGCTATAGGAAACAAWTATCGAACTTGGGTCGTACTGTGCTACTMTATTTTACACTTCACAGCCACATCTTGGTAGCWAAAAGCCTTTGCATCAAARTGAAACAGTGGTTTAGTAAGATTAATTCCTATGAATAATTATCTTCAATGTGAACAAAAGGTATTCATCACTGCACTCCTGCCTCACTTTGAYTGGGTTACCTTTCAAGATGRCACTTGGAGCTGTAAAATTGAGTATTATTTTCACCAAGTTACATGACAGATACAGCATTTTGATTGCCTACTTAACCATGGTCCAATTCATGTTAGATCATAGTATCATTGAATAATAGCAAGCAACATAAAGATAGTTGAAAAATGTTAAGAATAGTTTTTTTCAAAGTTGCTTTCCATTCAGTTTTTATGATAACTGTGAGAATGACTTTGTAAGTATTAATGCTGGGGTCTGAAAAGAGAAACAACTACTATATACTGAGATAAACATCAGAGGAAAGTATTGCCTTGTAGTTCTCTAACATTGTTTTTTTTTCCAGATCTTTGACAATTTAAGGCCAGCTAAAGTCATCATATTAACATCGGCACCAGTTTGTGAATACATTACATCAGACCCCCACCAGCTCCTCCCTGACTTTCTTAAGATGCTACACACATCAGGATGGAGCAAGGACGGCAGACCATGTGGATACCTAGAGACACCTAATACAGTCAGAGGATTGGCTGCTTCTGGTAAGAACATTGATAACATCTAAACTACTAGAACTGGTTTCAATACTGTCATATTTTTCTGATAGTACTTAAAGGGGAATATTTAGTGGTTAGATATGTTTTTGGGGCTACATATACAACTCAGTAGGGATATGTTATTCTTTATAATTACCTTTTGTTATTGTTAAAAATGAGATGAGTTTATTTCCTTCATCAACCTTTAAATTACTCAACCCTGACTACTGACTGACTCACACAGTCACATCCTCTCATTCTCTTCTTGTCTTCAAATCACACTCCATTTGCACACATCAATTTTACCATAACTTGTAGAATTCTCGCGYGCTGATTGCTCGAGGGCCGTTGTCAATCCTAGGACAGACGGATGAAATGAAACGGGTTTGTTTTTAAAGTTTTACTTTGTTTTTAGCTTTTTTATGGTAAAAAAACACGGAGCCAGCGCACGCTAGAAACAGTTTTGTTTTTAAAGTTTTACTTTGTTTTCAGCTTTTTTATGGTAAAAAACAATTCGYARGCGGTTTTCCATTGTCTGTACTCTTATTGACAATGAAATTGACGTCAAAAATGCTCAAAACTTTGCAGTGAAACCACTCGCTTATGCTCATGGTTCCACTTGAGTTTTGAGCATTTTGACGTCAMTTTCAWTGTCAATAAGAGTACAGACAATGGAAAACCGCCTGCGAATTGTTAACTAGAACACTCCATTCTTACTCTCTATGGTTCCTAATTGAAAACATTAATATCTGTCTGTATCTTAGTTCTTAGCCACTGTCACATATATGAAATACCAGCAGCACTGTATGTTTGCTACACTGCAACAAGTCAGCTAGATGTCCAGGCTGTTCAGGCATTTGGGGAGCTCCTTGAATCAAAAGAGTTTTCTGTTCTTAAAAAGGTATTTGGATTTTTTATCATTGATCCARCAAGATTGAACCAAATGACTTTGATACTCTTGCATTGCTACCTTACAGCGGMAATTGTTGCATCGCGACTTCTTTGTTTTGAAGTTTGTCTGGATTTTGTTCTTTCTTTCAATCTGAGGAGCGTAGGTTTTTCGAAAACTCGTTCAATCATTGGCTGATTAGTATCAAGCTCTGCCCCCAAGTCGCAGAAAAGCCTAAATCTCAACTATTTCCTTTGAACATTGAAGTCGCCATGCAACGGTTTCTGTTGTAATGTTTTGAAGTTAGGATTTCGTTTTTGTGTGTTTGTCCTTGTAAGAAGTTTTAAATCAATCAAGCAATGTAATTTAGACTATTAACAAAAATGTCATTAATACAAGAGTGCTTGAAGATTTTATAGACTTAATCCAAAAAAACCCTTCAAAACTTCTGGTTTGCCTGTAAAACTTCTTTTTTTCTCTGTCAAGTTTGAATAATACAATCATGTCCATTGTCAGGTCAGCCATTCATATTTAAAAAATCCTACCTAATAGTTTAAAGTAAGCCGTGTAATGATATGTACCATGCATATGGTCAACAATTACTATGGGGCTCTGCTCTTAAAATTGCATAGGAAAAGTTCAAAAGAATATTAGTTTCAAATACATGTAGATGAAATACATCACACAATTGCTGAAATTACATTACAGCATGTTGGAATAGATGCTTGGAAACACTGGAAATCTCAGTCTGTTGATATTCCTTAGGAAAGAAGGACTTATCACATCATTGAGATTTCTTATGACTGGATACATTTTCTTTTGATACGTAGTCACTGACCCTTTCTTAGACCTTGATTGTTAGTGTTAAACAACATAATGTTTTGGTGTGACATAATTTTGTGATAGGGCAATTAAGTTTTAAAGTTTTTTTCTTTTGCAGTCAGCACATCAAGACACAACTACAGTGCTAAAGTCACTTGGAATAGGGAAATCATGTTACGAACACTTGTATTTATAGCTTGTTCCATGGCATGMTGTACATATAGAAAAGAGGTAAAGGTACTTTCATATCACTAAATGGAGACTTATTAACACTGTTCATTATATCAATCACTCAAAAGAGACTTACAATCCTAGACAAGACTTTAAATGTTGGAAAGTCTGTGTACACTGTGTATTCCCCCGCAGGTTAAGAGGRAATTGTTATGAAGGATATTGTTCTAGTCAAGGATGGTGTTRCTGGCCAGGGGAGGTCAAGGTGATGGTGGTGATGATGATGGTCAAGGGGGATGTGTTTGTCAAGAGGGGGTTATGTTGAAAGGTCAGTGGGGGCTGGCAACATTCAAATGGCATTGTGATGGTAGGGTTTTTTTACACTTGTCAAGGCAAGGTGGTGTTGGAGAATGGTATGGTGTTGGTCAAGGCAAGGTGGTGTTGGAGGAGAATGGTATGGTGTTGGTCAAGGCAAGGTGGTGTTGGAGAATGGTATGGTGTTGGTCAAGGCAAGGTGNTTACAATTTCCATCAATTTGAGAAAAAAATTAAAAAAATCATCAATACAGTAATATGGTTACACCTTTTTTATTTTATTTATAAGTATCTTTTAGGGTCGTTATTTTCGAAAAAGGTTCGTCGAATACCCCTTAAAACTTTTTCAAGGCAGTTAAGATTCCTGACCTCAGCTTGCACAATGCTCGTCTCTTCTTTACGATGTAACAATAATCAAATAGAAATTCASTTTGGTATTTGTTGATCACCATTGCCAAGAATATGTTGTCCTTGTGTCTTCAAAGGATAGCTAATCTATTGCTAGTGTTGGGTTGCAATAAAGCCCTGATGAACTTGATCAGTTCTTTATATCTGATATAGAACTGATTAATAAAACATCAGTGCTTTATCGGGATATAAAGGCCCATCAYGTGACCCAATAGTTTGATGCTCATTGGACKAATAGCTCATGAAGTATTAATGAGTTCTAGAAGATGAGAGTCTAAAACTGAGAACTTTTCTAGTGTTGGAAATGGAGAGTGTCTTTCAGAATCGATGAATTAAAAAAACTATCCTAATGCACTTCCAAGCAATACCTACCAGTTTCTGTAACCAAACACTCCTTTGACATCGATTTCTCGCATTATAGCTTCCACTATAGGAATCTGAATGACGTTCTCGCCAAKTCCAATGATTGACACAGTACCACCCGTCTTAGTAGCCTGAAAATATAGGAATATTTAAAATGCTTCTTTTTACTCGTTTACTGTGTACAATGTACCATACTTACATATAAAGCTGCATGTATACTCGACTCTACACCAGTACATTCAACAGTCTTGTCRACACTCCCCATCACTTCTATGACCTTCTTAGCAACTTCTTTACCATCTTTGCTTTCTACTTTGATGATATAATCAGCACCGAGCTCCTTGGCTTTAGCAAGACGGCTTTCATTGATATCTATGAACACAACCTGAAGGTTATCATGAGTTAACAATAGTATAGTACAAAGATCGTCAGAAGGGCTGGCTAAACAATTTGGTGTTTCTAACTGTACGCGTTGAGGTAATTTTGTTTTCGTTTTTAAATAAATACATCCCCGGTTCAAATGTTTCGTGTCTTCACACTATGTACGAATCTGTTTCGTTAGCTATAAAGAAGGTATCTTTTTACATCGTGACGAAAGCAATAAAGGATAGATTGCAAATGTTTATATTTAAGAAATATAAATCACAATTTGGTTGTTTTAACTTTAAATTTAAATAGGGGTAGTTTTGGACGGTTTTAGTCTGAAATAAGCTACTTTTTCGGTCGACAGAGAAACAATGTAAATTCCGTTGTAGTTAGCAAAATACCACGATGTACAATTCTTCGGTTCTGTCTAGGGTAGAGTACGAAAAATCGACATTTTAGGTCTGGGATAGAGTCAGGGTCTGGAGGTTCTGGCGGCACACCTTTACCCAAGATAGGGTGGTAGAACCCCCGAGCCCCATCCCAGCATGTTTCAGTCTTTCACCAGTCTATACTTACCGGTAATGGCGACCTTGGCTGCACCACATGCTCTTGCTGTTAACAACGTCATCAATCCTATTGCACCTGAAAAAATGTGCAGATGAACACAATTGATCGTTTTCAACCATTCCCATGAAATTTAAAAGATAGAAGACCGGCGGCTATGTTGGAGGAATCTTTTGTTGAAGTTCCTCCAAGATGGCCGCTGTAACGTAACTTGAATCGGGTCAGGTATCGATTCCAGACCCTAGAAGGTACGATCATTTTTGACGTCTTTAACAAGAGAAAAGCTCAAGTTTAACAAACTGTAGAAAATCAATGTCGATAGATTGTTGACTGTTGTTGAGGTTAATAAAATCTGTTCCTTTATAACACTTCTTCAATTTTATTTCCCCGTTCTTCGAAAAATTGTCCCTAAAAGGTACGGAGTCAGCTCAGGACCCAAAAAGATGCGCTAGTGATTTATTCCACCCTAAAAGGTCCGTCTAGCATACCTACCAACTTTTATAAGGGAGTCCCCCCGGTACTTGAATACCAAAGTCACATGGTCAACTAAATTATCCTGATGCTTTTGTCAACATGGTGGTGCTTTCTACTCTACGATTTATAAACGGTTAATTTTCTATATATTTTTTACCTGCACCGCAGATGAGAACATAATCAGCCATGGTGACACCAGCTCGTCGACACCCATGAATGGCGACTGACAAAGGTTCCATCAAAGCTGCTTCCTCAAAACTCACGTGATCTGGAATCCTTGAACAAACAGACGCCTAACGTCAGTACACATAGAGATCATTATGCATGTAGTGCACGTCATAGTTTTGTCAAATCATTTATATACACCAGGGTTAATGAAATGACTTTGTTCAAAGATTCAAAAAGTTATATGTATATTAAAAGGGCGGATCCAGGATTTTGGTCAGGGAGGGGAGGGAGGGGTGCGGGACTCTCAGGAGGGGGTGCAACCCACAAAAATCATTACCATGAAGACACAAAATAAGGAAAGTATTGAAGGATATAGACCTCAGGGGGGGGGGGGGGGTGCGCACCAACCAGCTGGATCCGCCCCTGGATTTATCCTATATAATTGCATTAATAATCTGTACATAGTGACAATTCATTGGGTACATCATCCAAACATACAGTCATTAACGTCATTCAGTTGTAAATACATAGACAACAACAAACTCATTTGCAGATATCATATTTGTATATTTTTTTGCAAGATTATTTAACGTCAAGTTCCAAACCGTTATGACAATATCAATGACATTATTGCAAGAATGATCTGCAGTTTTTTAAAAATCATTATTTATGCAAATAATTTTGTTGTTGTCTTTATGTCGAACGAACAACGTTATAATGGAAATGACTGTATCCTTTATCGCTCTCTTTGGTTCTCTTCACTCTATTTTACTCTCTCACACTCCTYTGGTATCTTTCGAGCGAAATTTGCCCTTCTTTAACTCGCTCGCTCCACATACTTAAAAAATGACAGCACAAACACTTTCCTTCATTCCATCCACCCCTCCACATCGCCCCTGATCCCTCATCCTACTTATARCAATAATGTGCGCTGTAATTCAATCTTCGGCACARAGATCCTTGGTAAGGTGGAACAGCAAAGTATCTCAACTTCTTACAGAGATTATAACGACCTTCCTTACAATCTTGACACGTATGACATGGTACAATAGGCTCGATGGTTACCCGGTCACCTGAACAGAAAGAAAGATTCTAAATGATTCAATATTATAACATAGAGAAATGATAGCGCGTGTCACGTTTTCAAACCGTCAATGAGCTTCAAAGCTATATTCACGAGAAATGCAAGACAGATATAATTCATTTGTATTGGGATGTTATGAGGAACTAAATAATCACCGTTGCACTATGCTAAACGAAGTACATCGTGGCGAGGCTATGAGGCTTTTGAATAACTGAAAGTGAAGAAATCTAGTTCATGTATGGCAATCCCGAGATTCTTTGCTGGTTCAAGACCGTCGACAACGTTTTTTGAAATAGGTGTATATACGATATACGTTTTGGATGTTATCCCTGCTACTTACCAATTTGAAGGTGTGTTACACCTTCACCCAGTGCTGTTACAACTCCACTAGACTCGTGTCCCAAGACAACAGGTGCGTTAGGAACATCCCCGCCAGCCTCGCCATGCTTCCAGAAATGAATATCTGTACCACATATGCCTACTGTTTGAATGGCGAGCTGGACCTCTGATAATAAGATGGATAAAAATGAGATGACAACAACAAAAGTAAAAATAGTGTAAGAAGTTTTCTAGAGGAAATTCAGTGGAAGGCCATCTGTAAGGCCGACTTAACATAAAGATAACTGCACTCACTWAATAAGTGACAAATACTAACGGAGGACCTGGGTAAACATTATATTAATGAAACGGCAGTGGTAGGTAGACATATCCTCACGGCTCGCACAATAATTTAGATAACAGAATATAGCATCGATGTTGTCGGAATCTCGGGCGGGATGGCAGAACGACTCCTTATATAGGATAAAAACTCACGGCGAAACGAGATCTCTGATTTAACGTCCTTATTCGAGAATGCATGATGATGTAGTCATTTTTTTAGCTCGAGAAACAAAGACATAATTTGTTAATGTCCTTTAATAGATGTATTGGTGCCGAGCCCTCAAGGGGACATTATCTTTTTTTTCCTGTCGAGTTTTTGGTCGAGTTTTTGTTCATGCAAACTATTTACAGTAGGAAGTTACAGTTTCGTTAAAAAGGATCATRTAAGAACCGAAAGGGAACGGATGTGTTATACGTCATGTAATGACCCTCCTGTGCCGTGYTAATTTTCAAAAATGGGTAAAGAAATAAACAAACTATTGTATAGATATGGAAAAATCAATTCATGAAGTGTTATTACACTAACCACAATTTTGGTGGCTTATTCGGAAACGRCATTTCTTTTTGTGATCCGCAAACAACTTTTCTGAGGGGTGAGGGGTAATCCAAGAATTGTCTCCTTTGCTTTTGCCATGCAGAGATTGTAGCATCGGAAAATGCAATTTTGGCATGGCACAAATACAAAGACTGCAATAATTATCACACTGTTATTTTTTCAGAGTTGATTTAACTCCAAAAGTGGAGTTAAGAAAAAGATACAGGGTGACTCCTTTTTTAGGAATAACTCCACATATTAGTTACAATTATCCATAGTACAGTGGAGTTAAAATTACCCCTGGTGGAGTTAACTTTACTCTCATTAGGGAGTAGATTTAACTCCCTTTAAAGTTACTCCATATTGGATGGAGTAAATTTAACTCCCTTGACAGAGTTATATCAACTCCTTATAACAGTGCTGGGTGGAGAGTTGAGTATCCAGAGGATGCGTCCAAGTTAATCAACAAAGGAGATTGGGTAACATGTAACTTTAATTTGAACCCGATCGCAAAACTCAAAATCACCCCAACTCTCTCTAATTTTTAAAAATTTGGAATGGCATTAGTGTAGAAATGCTAAATTTATCAAATCGCACAAAGCACGTCTCAAAGATACGACGACTACTCCGGGACAAAAAGTCGCTCAAAATCACCAAAAGATGACCAAAATCGCTGCTAAATAACCTTATATTTTGAGTGGTTTTGTGCAATATTTTTTGCAAATAGTACTCAGAGTCGGCGATCAGTTGTACGGCGACTTTGGTTCCCGGAGTAGGCTTGAACTATAAATAGCCCTAGTACCCTGCATATATACCTAGTAAAGCCAAATATATACCAAAAAGTTCAAAAATTCTACTTGTCAATATCACTGAAAATKCTGGAAATCTCATTTTTGACGGTTTAAATTTCAAWTTTTTTCGGGGGAGCATGCCCCCGGACCCCCTATATATTCCCGCCTTCGGCGATCGATGCGACACAAAACCGGCCTCATCWTTAATTCACCATCACGGTCTTCCTGTATCTTTTTCTTTTTTTTTCGAACTCTGGACCTTTCAACGGCAGAGACGTTACCACTAGACCATATAGCCATTAGACATTACGTCATGACTATCTTACTATTGTAGCTTTTATGCAGCACGAGATAAAAGGTTGGATTTCCCGTGCCGTCATAACTCGGATAAAACTGCTTTTACGATGCTTTTAAATGTCTTTAAAATTCTATTCTTTGGTGTGAATTGTACAAATCGAAAGAAAAGGGTTTCTGCTTTGAGTGTGCGTCGACAGTTAGAAAGAGTCAGGGCCCGGGGGGGGCACTCCCATATATTTGCTATACGGGGACGTGCCGCTGGCCAGGGTATGGTTTTTGGCCTTGCTGTCTTAAACAGGGTATACATTTCACCCGAAATTGTCTTAAACAGGCTCGACAATTTAGATAAAAGACCGATATATTTTTTTTGTGTGTTTTAGACAGGGTAATATTTTCATAAGAAATACCGTAGAAATAATAAAAATACCATTTCACTATCCCAGGATTAACGTGTTATCAAAAATTTCTTATTGTCTTTGATGGATGTCAGTATAATTGCACTTTTGATGGTTGTGGCGAAGATTGCTATTCCTTATTTTTCCGATTTGTCTTGAACAGGGTATTGATTTTTACTTTTTAGTATCTTAAACAGGGTCAGGGATTTAGACCGCTGGCGGCACGTACCTATCCAAAATGGGGTCGAGTACAAGAAGCTCCTACTTGTTTATCTTGGCTTCTCGTAAGAAAATACAGATCTGATCCAACATTGGGTTTCCAGTAATCGATATTTCCTGACCTTAATGCCCCGTAAAAGTTGAGAATCGCAATAAGTTAAAACCCTGCATTCAAATTGTCGTTTCTTGCATTGTTTATCTTAGCCAAAAAACTTCGGATAAATTTCACAATTTACACAATACGTGTTTTTTTGTGCTTTGGATTTCAACCATTTTGCTTTTTATACGCAAAAAGTCATACTACAATCTCCGAGTTAGCGGTTGCCATCGGCAGCTTGATTTTATAAGATTTAACCAAATAAACACGAAGAATAAAATCATGAAGTTTGATTTTCTTTATGTCAATTTTTTTACGAGTAGGATTCCATGCTGTACAATTACGAAATAATTGGACGAGGAAAATTCAGAAGAATGCCAAAATTGGACGAAGGCAAGTGGATATATAATTTTAAGGTATAACATACTCTGTAGTAGTACAGCAAGTACGGCATATCAGGGACTTTAGTTTTTTACAACAAACTATCTCTCATAGTTTGACTAGCCATATTTCTTCATCACAGACTTGTAGGCAAATCTCGAACATTTTCGATCATTTTCTACAATAACAGACTTACAGTCAAACTACGGCTCAAGCATGAACACCTAGTGATCATTAATGAGTTCAATATTGCATTATTGATTTGATTCTTGAATTCAAATATTCATTATTCAAATGAAGTTTTAAATATTGAAAAATATTCAAGCATGCAAAAACGAATAGAATAATTGAAAATAACATGTGCATGGGTGATAACTGCACGTTTTCAAAATTTTGAAAAGTTGACTAATAAACTCAATGATGAATATTTTAATCCAAGAATCAAATCAATAATGGAATATAATTCATTAATGATCTCTACGTGTTCATGCTTCAGGTAGTTTGACTGTAGTAAAATGGATACAAGGATACTAAATGAGGCTAAATATCAAATTGATATCGATCATTGGATACGTAGCGCCTAAATCTCTAGGGAACAAAAAAAATTATGAAACCAAACCTTGGCATTGATGTCTTTCCGCAATAGCAATCTGTCATATACTTGTATTCGATCTAAATTTCATGTATCGCTCTTTTGTTGGCGTCAAAACGAAATCTCATTAGAATTACGATAATTTTGAATAAAACTACATTCGTTACGTCAAAGCGGCCATCTTGGAGGAACTTCAACAAAGGTTTTTTCACTATGCTACTAATGCTCATTAATTCCTCCGACATGGCCGCCGGTCTTTTATTGAATGGTTCGATCAATACCTCCATTTACTGGTGGKGCTACTGGACGAGGTTCCTGCAAAACATGCAATGTTCAAATTACTGCGAGAGAAACTGTTGTAAATAATGTGCATAATACAATCTACTGAATGTATCTTACAATTCTGAGATCGTCTTTTCCATGTAAGACTACAGATAGATTCTCTTTGTCCGCCATCTTTGAGGACAGCAATGTCACGCAATCCCAGGACCCGATTAAACGGCGCTCTTTGGGAGTGCTACATCTAACATAAAGGTATAGATGTTAGTTCCCAGTATTATTTCACGCTGACCTGCCCCTAGTCTTACCTGTAGCTATTGTAGGCTAGTAGAGCATCGTTAGTACAAATCCGAGCGTTGTGGGTTCGAATCCCTGCGAGATCGAGAATTAAATTTTCCGAATTTATTTCCGAGGGCCTTTTCGGCGCCTGAAATAACTTGACCTCGTTCCCAGGCACTGTAACTTTCCACTACTTCAGTGGCTTTGGTATCACTGTAAACAAAACGTGATCAATCAGGCACGTAG